CATTGATATATTACTTCTTCAAGAAAAACATACTGAATCACAGCAATGAAAAAGCAATGAGTCTGAAAAACAGTTGCTTTGTAGCATAGCTCATTTTATTGTTTAAACAGTTTTGCATAGGAAATATATCCACTTCCAGTAATTGACTGCAGTAAAAACAGCTGCTAGCAGTATAGGCTGGATAAAACAGTAACAATCACAAAAAAGTCAAGCGTTATTTACACTCATTTGTAATCTTGTGGCATTTTTAGCCCCTGCAACAACTGCAACCAGCTCGAAGGCAAGGCAGTGCCCCCTGTTTATAGCGGTGAAAACGGAAAAGCTTGAAATCAACAGAAGAAAATAAAACAAGGCCTTCACTATACAGCTTCTTGAAGGACACCTGTTTTTCTTAAACTGTGAGTAAAAGCACAAAAACTTGATAAAGTGATTCTATAATGTACATTCAGAACATACATTAATATTTGCATACAATGCTGTGTTTCCACAATCACTACTAATAACCATTATGACTTTATAACATTTGTTGGTGTTAGTGTTGTTGACATGTTATAAACCCACCTACCACAATACCACTGAATTTGCAACAGGCTTAAAAGTGTCACAAGACTCCCTCCCCCCTTCAAAAAGCAAAAGAAAAAAATAAAACAACTCTGCTGTGGAGCTGGCAATCTTTTTTTTTTTTCACCTGACATTTTTGTCATCTACTATAGTACTAAGTGTAGTCTAGGAAACACACTACCAAACTATTACTGGATCTCTGTTAAATAGAGACTGGGGTATCCCATTTGACAAAATTATCCAAAATTGAACAAAGCACAAAAAAAACAAAAAACAAACACAGAACGAAGACCAAAAAAAATAATAATAATAATAATCAAATAAAATAAAAAATAAAAGCAGAAACGTTTGGGGGATTAAAACATGGGAAGAGGCATCCCATAAATTCTGTGTTAACTGTTTTTTTTTGTTGTTGTTTTTTTGTATTCCCTAAAGAAAATCCCATGTTTTAATTTTTACAATGGAAAGTCCAATGAGACTTTGAGCTGAAACAGGCACTGCTTGAAATATTTTTCTTTCTTTCTTTCTTTCTGTCTTTCTATTTGGTAAACATCTCATAATATGCTGGTTTTTATGTTACTGTTATGTCAATGATCACTCATGCTGTTGTAAATGCCCTAGAAATGGAAATATGACAATAGATGTGGACCAAAATGTCCTCCTGTCATTTCCCTGCACTGACGCACAGAAGAGCTGAAAATACACATGAGTTCCACTAGTCTTCCTTGCATAAGTTACTTCCATGTGGCTTCTCAAAAGCCATGACCTTGGCTTTTACAGCTTTACCAGGCCATCACCTTACTGCTTTTAACAACTGAATTCTGCAACAAAGACTGTTTTCTAAAAGATCAGCCCTTTAAAACAAAACTGCTGTATATCGCTACTATGGTGAGGGGAAGTGTTCCAAGCTACTTTAACAACATTCAGTCCAACTAGATACGAACACTCAGGCTAATCAGAGCATCATCACTAGCTAGACGTAATCCAAACAACAAACAATGTGCCAATGAAAGGGGTAGTGGGAACTGCAGAAAGTGCAAATGCTCATCTGTTTTCCTTCCGTGATGGCAACATGAAAAAGACATCTGTGGGTCCACACAAAGGCTTCTGGGAGTACCGAGTCTGCCCTGAAAAGAAGTATGCAGCATTCATTCTAACATGTTCATTGCTGCTCATGGCAGACATATGTAAACACTGCAGAATGGAGGTGCCTACGTGCCGGTGTCGGCACGGCAGAAAAATCTCTGTACATGGTATGGTGGGTCAGCCTCTATTGACGGGGGAAATAATGCACGTTTTATTTTGCACAATACAGCAGAACAATCTGTGATGTTGTGTAGTGACATTACCCTGGTATTTTTTTGTTGGGAGACTCAAATCAGGTGCCTTTATACTAAAGTGACGAGGAGTTCCCCAACGGATCAAAACAACAACAACAACAAAATAAAAAAAAAATAAAAAAAGATAATAAAAAAATAAAAATAATGACCCTACAAATTTTAACATTATTCATCTTGTCCTGTTTTCAATATCAAATAATCACATCACACACACACTCTATGGCCACACTAACAAAACAACACTTCAAACATTTATGAAATGTCTCAAGGATCCAAGTTACTCAACACGAAAAACAACAAAAGACCTTCATCATTTTGTTTTAAACATTTACAGTCCCATACAGGAATTCACTCCACTTTAAAAGTACAGGAAAATAAAAATAAAGAATTACATATTCAACCTTTTTATGTACTGTATCGGACAGCTGTTAAGTCGTAACACGAATTGAAAGTCAAAACAGTTTTGTATTTTTTGAATGCTTTCACAAAAAAATATGGACATCACTTAAATTCACGAATACATGTCAAAAGTTTTTCGTTTTACAAACGGGGAAAGAGAAATTTACAGTGTACACACTTTTGTCAACAAGGCAGGCATTTCAATAGAAAGAGCCTCATGTACTCTCCTCTCATAGTGTCAGAATCATCTTGAAACATACACTGACGTATTCATCTACAAACACAGTGCACAAAGCTGCCAGAGCAGATTTTCAACCCATACCGACTACTACTGAAAACTATTGCTATTGCCAAACTATTACAATGGCCATCAAGATGACCCCTACCTATGGCCTCCTTCACGGCTTCCAGCATGAGAATGACTCTATGACCCTGACACTCCACCACTCCAGGAGGAAATGCACTTCAGTGGCACTGCCAACGGCCAGACGGCTGCAAAGCACTTATTTTTCGCAAATGAACAACAACAAAAAAACAAAACAGTGCACATTGAACGGGGTGGCTTTTTTTTTCTAGCTTAATCACATATATGACAACAAAAAAAAACATCTCTGTGAAGGAGGAGAGATTCAGCTTGACTTGAGGTCTCAGAAACAGACTGAACAGTGATTTAAGGGCTACAATTTAAAACCATGGTGATAAGAAGTGTTATTATAAAGAGGCCATCCATTAATTGATGCTGGTAATGCCCTGTTAAGCAAAACGCCTGAGTTTTTTTCTTCTTCTTCTGTGTTTAACTGAAAGACACTATGGGTGGATGATTGCCTATATGCTGTAGGTACAAAACCATTTTTTGTGATCCTCAAGACCATAAGAGCATTAAGTTATTCCCTTTCACCGAATATTGAAAATAACTATATATAACTTGAGATAAATATAAAAATCGATTCTCCCCATGGGGGTATTTGTCTATGGACTATGATGTCAATAAGGCTGTAAATTTTAACACTTCAAAGGAAAGAATAAAAAACAGTGAAATTTACTGATTGTGACAGATCTAACACGCAGTAACTTGCGTGACAGTGATTGTAGCGCATTTTATAACAAGTCACTTGTTTGTAAAAATGTAAGGCATTTACTTGGGAATTGCATATAGCTACATTGTTAACCGGACAAGGTGAACAGGGTAGGGAAGATAACTGATAAAAAAAAATGCCAGCATTTAATGCCCTAGTGTGCATGATTCGCCGGTGATTGTCACTCTCAAGTCAAGCTGTCTCCCCTATGAAAGTCATCTTCTTCCGAAGGTCAAACTAGCACCCCAGGTGGGAAGTTCGAAGGAGTTTGTTAGTCACAGTAGACAAATCAGTGACTTTGCAGCCATATTAGACCAAATGGTGCCTTCTTTGCAGACATGCTTCAAAGTGTAGAAAAAAGTCCTCCCCTTACAGAGAATACAAAACAAACGTATCTCTCATGCACCTCTCTGCCTTTAGATACACTCAAGGGAAAAAAGACCTTGTCGCACACTGCATAGAAAGCAGTTCCCACTTTGGTCAATTACCAAAAAAAAACAAAAAAAGAAGAAGAAGAAGAAAGGAAAATAACAACAATGTCAACAACATCATCATCAACAACAACATAGAAAGAAATTAAATGTTTAAACTGTGTATCTCTGTACTAGCTTCTAATAATCTACATAGCTAAAATCACTACCTATATAGGCAAAACTTGGTATTGCATAATTCTTATAAATCTGGACCCGCCCTCCCCAATAATAACTGGAAGATGGAAAAACAAACAAACAACACATGATTCAAACAAAATCAAAAAATGACAACCACCAAAATACTGGAAAAAAAAAAAATAATGCTGGTTGATTATATACTTTAGAACGGCAACTATACACAGCCTTGATACGCACTGTAAATGTGAGATAAAGTAGTAAATTAAGCTAAAAATCAATGTCACAATTTCATCCAGAGTACAAAATATTTCTTATCATAAAAATGTTACTTTTTCCCCTAAAACGGTAATAAATGCAGCAAAAACAAGTGTAGTGATGTTTTCTATAGTCGAACGCAAGGCACGTAATGTGGACTATATATTTTCGTGCAAATTAAGATTATTGGAAAGATTAATTATATGTCTGATTGGAGAGGCAATGGCATTGCAAATGCCAGAAGCAATCATCGATTTCTGGGACTGCGACAGTTGAAACTACCAAAGTGGGTTTGAAATAAGCACCTTGAGACCTCGCCTCAACCTGCAAGTTAGTGTTGAAATGAGTACAGCTTTACACATACACATCACCAGCCTGCAATCCTCTTGTTTCTCATGATATCAAATGTAAACAGTAGCTTTACAAGCCAACATCTGACTAAACATGCATACTAGATCGGTGAGTAATATGTAAAAAAAAAAGCCATTTTATACACGCTGTGTGTCTGAGTCTTTTTTCATCGACTTTATGTTTTCATTTTAATAAATAAAAAGAAGAAAAACTACCCGCATGTTTGGGTACGGCTCAAAGTAAGTGCTGTCTTGTTCGTGTTCAGTTATGCTCACGTAAACGTTCGCTGTCAATCCCACTTTTCTCTTCCACCCTCAGCTTCCCCTAGTATTCCGAATCAAGGATACCATTCTTATTTTTATGATTTAGGTTCACTTTTTAAATGTTAAATTTGTAAAAAAAAAAATTTAAGTTAACATTTACTCCCCGTTCCTTTAGAGTCTTAGGGCAGACAGACTGTGATAGCTTCCCTTCAGTAAAATCATTTCAATTGCACTTGCCTCTTGTGAGATATTGTCTTATTTTTCTCAAAATTGTTTTCGAAGGAAATTAAAAAAGGGTAGTATTTCTTACCTAGTAATTCAGGCTTTTTCTTTCCTTGAAGGAAAAAAAAGTTTTCAGAGTTCTTAACTCTGGATAGGAAATTCCTACCTTTACCTTAAAAGAAAATTAGTACAGGATTGACATGATTACATATTCAAAAGATTTTGCACCAGGGGCAAATTAAATTTTGAGGGTAATATGAAAATAGAAACATTCAGTTCATTGAAAATTGTTCCTATGGTTATGTAATGAATATGATGAGCCTTTGTTTGATGATAGTTTGTTCCAATTGCAGCCTGCTTTACAAAGCATCCAATCAGCCAGCCCTTGTGTGATCGCCCCCTTCTAAATCGTTTTGTAAACCAAAACTAGTGACATGAGAACAAGAGAAACACTAACAAGAGACTAGCATGTCATGCATATACAGTAAGGCATCTAAAGTTTGTATGGTAAAGATCACAGTATCTCAGTTCAGGGACTTTCTTACACAATGACTGACTGGCGTGGAGTGGCTCATATCAGAAGAGAACGCTTTGACCCAACTCACTCTACTGCGCTAAGCCAATGTCCTTGAGAGGCTGGAATAAAGGTCCATGTCGATTGTATAAGTGCTGCTTGCTGGTTTGTCCGAGGACCTGTCTCTCCTGGGTCCAGTTTTAGGCCCCCTTTAATTGCTTGATTCTGCCTGGAGGAGGGGCTCACCAATGATGTTTATGCTGTAATTCTGGACATTTGTTGGCAGAATCGGAGTCCCGTTCGACACTTGGAATGGAATTAAGCTCGCCCAGGTACCAGGACTGCAGACACACAGGGAAAAGACAGATTATGAGAGTTATTAAAATCAACATTAAAAAAAAAATCCAATATATTGCACACGATAAATGCATTAGACTGATCACACCTAATCACAAACAATACTTACAGTATTTATTACAAATACTGTTTACAAAGTAACTCTAGATGCCTTACTGTGGGCATGACACATACACAGTTTTAAAATACAGCTACATTAAATACACAAAATAATGATCTTTAAAACAGCATCATATGACCCCTTTAAAGTTTTCATTAAACATCAAATTATTTAAATCTGAAACGGTTAATGAAAGAGCCATGTCAGGTCTAGACTTTTTTCCACCCTCTTTTGAAAAATACGCCTTTCCATTAAACACACACACACACACACACACACACACAAATAATATGAGTTCAGGATTGTGTCAGGGAACAGGATATCACAGAAAAACAAAGCACCCATAATGCAAATGCATGGGGGAAGTTTCCCCAAGAACACGCACCCATCTCAGCCCCCTGCAGCTGACACCCACTTTCAGATCAATAGGGTTAAGTCAGCGAGACTGTCTACAGAACTTTCCTATCTGCATTCAGCACATTAACGGCACAACAACACGAGACTGTTAATTGCGAGACGTGGTGCGAATCTCGGCTGCAAAAGCACTGGGGTGGACAAACAGCATGTTGTTCCCTGGGGGGAGGACAGGGGAGCTGAATGGTGCGTACATGTGTCGAATAATTAGACAGGCCAGAAACCAGAGCCCTGGTATGCCCCCCTTCTTTTCCCCAGCCCTGGTTTGAAATACCTGTCTCACCCAATCGCCTAACACAATCTTTCTGCTCACAGATTACAGGCTGTACTCCTGCTCTGTCAACAGTGCCCGGCGCACACAGCCACCTCTTTGTACCCCCGACTCACTCGTTTCTTTTTTGCCCCTGAAAGAGAAAAGGGACAGGCCCGGGGAGGGGTGGAGGGCGGTGGGCTGATTGAAGGAGAAGGAAGGAGACTGTTGTGTGCAAAGACTTTTCCCTGGGTTCACTGCTTTGGATGCAGGTGCAAAGCTTTAGTGGGCTTTTCTTTGGGAGTTTGTTGTTTGTTTTCTGAGGGGGAGACAAGGGCTAAAGCCAGTGGCTGGTGAAGGACAGGGACCCAGCGGATGTGGAACAGTGACTTTATTCTTCCTGAGGTAGCCCGGGGTTATACGGCTGCCTGTCACCCTGAATGCAGCTAAGGCTTCAGTCTGAGATTTACACAAATCACTTGCAGCCAATGCCTGAAATCATGTTTAAACAACAGAGCTGCAAATTATGATTTCAGCGCACACTGTGTCAGACTTTAAGGAGAAAGAGTCACAAAGAGAGTCACAAAGTTGTATCAACGGAAACCAAATCAAATGTGGACTAAACTCTCTTTAAAAAGGGTTAAATACTGTATATTACAAGAAGGACTAACTGAGCTCTGTCTCTCTTCTTTCCTGCAGCCCCTCTGCTGTCCTGGCTTGATAGAAATCATCTAACAGGAAAAGAGAGATTAAGTGTTTTAGAGATGTGGACAGGAGAGTCAGGCTCAAATCAGACTTAAATCACTGTTTGGATTTATGACTTGACTTGCTAAGTATTAAAGTACTTAAGGCTTGATTTTGACTTTGTTGCAATTACCTGAGACTTGAGCTGATGACTAAAGTCTCGTCATTTCCTATGAAAAAATCCAATGGCATTACAATTACGCACTGCATTTTTTTTTTTTTTCAAATCTTTTTCCCCCCATTTCTTCCAGACTGAAAAAATCAAGCAGTATGTACCAGGTAGTGATATTATCTATCAATATCTAGTAATGAAAATTCATATTTGCCATCACAGAAATAAATTACAGCCTTTGTGAGCATAAGAGTTTTCTTTCTGTTAAAATATTACGTTATATATGTAGTATTTAATTTTCTTTCTTTCTTTCTTTATATATTTAATACAATTAAAGGTGTCTTGCTAATCAACCCTTCTAAAAAGACTATCATTTTTATATTTTCATCTGCAAAAGAATCCAATCAACCAGTTTCAACTTTTTTTTTTTGAAAGAATTCTGACCAGTCTTGCTGAGTTAGTGCTTAGTTAAGAAGCTGGTTCATATATACAATATTCCCAAAGACAACATAGTGGTCTCTTAGACAGGGAAAGTGAGCACAAAGAAATAAAAGCATCCGGGAAAAGGATCACTAATGGGCCAGAAAAAAACAGACTACCACCCATCAAGCTCGTAAACTGTCTCATGCACTACTGCCCTAAACTTTGCCTTTACAGAGCATCAATAAACAGTGTCTGATGGATTGCCGTGGAGTGGGGTACTACCCCTTGTTTCCCAAGTTCAAGGTTCAGTCTGGTGTTACCTACTGTCTGGTTTCCCCGGCTACCAGACAAGCGCAGATGTGATGGGCCCCTTTCACATGGGAGATGGGTGTTGTGGGATAAAAGGGAGAACAAACAACTTTCCTCCCTTATCAGATTCTTGCTTCTTCACGAGTCGCTTATGGGTCTCTCATCTCAAATGTCCACCCTCCTGCAGGAGCATGCATGGGCCTGCTTCATTTTGGAATCAGACGCTAAATTAGATTATCTAATGCCATTTTAATGGATTGCTGACCCAATTCCTACAGGATGGCAACAAGCAAGTCTGGCTTGAATTCAATTTGTGTTGAGCTGTGGACTGGCATGCATCACACTGCGGCACTGCAGCTTTGCTAGTACATGCAACCGACAAATCACATTTCCAATGTCAATGACCTGAAGTCAACTCTTCAACTGCATTAGTCTTCATCTGAAGCACACAGCACACATTCTGCCTCTATCAACTGTGTTGCAAGTTTGTTTTTTGCAGTTGACAGAAACATGATAATTAGTAAACTTTTATTGAATATTTTAAATGTAACATATGTGCGTTGTTTTTCAATGCTCAATAATGTTAGCCATTAAAAATATAAATAAATAAATAAATAAAGGGTGAGCCACTGCTAGGGAACATTCTTCCCTCATACTCCGCGTGGTCTATTAGGAGGCCAGAAAAGGGGCTGGAAAGAAAGCAGGGGCCTGTAACCCTGATGCCTACAGAAGGAAGTGAGAGTGTGTTCAGTGCGACTTTGCTTTTCCACAGAGTTACTGCAGTGAGGAAGTGCTGAGCAAGGCCTTTCCCACAGCAGAGACCTGGAGAGACTACAAAAGTGGAAGAAAGAGGATATAGTTCAAGGACATATTGCTCACACTAAGCCCACCTTACACTAAGATTTGATTGCATATAGCAGCAGTGACTATTCTAAGAATACATGGCTTTCCCTTAAAATGCCATAAATATGTGGCAATGATATAGACTATAATATATGAATAACAAAATATATAGACACAATATATTTGTGTGTGTGTGTGTGTATATATATATATATATATATATATACATACATGCATTATATGTATATATGCATACATACATATAATGCATGTTGTAATGCTTACAGTGGATTCAGAAAGTATTCAGAGGTTCATCTTCCAACAGACATTCACCCTAAGCACACAAGAAGTTATCACAAAACTGGTTTTTGATTTGGAGAGTGTAGACTGATGTGGAGAGAAAAAAAAATTAAAATAAAAAACATTTTAGCCTAAGGCAGCAACATAAAATGTGTAAGCCCTGTATGATGCATTATCATCTGAAGAGGGGATTCAAGAAATATAATTTTCTTGAATTGATCTTGATTTCAATTTAAAATTCTTTCACTGTTAGGCATTTATAAAAAAAATTAAAAAAAGAGAACAGTGCAAAGCTTTAATGCAGAAGGACAGATGAGGTTATTAACCAGAGTAAACAGTCTTGACGGCCTCAGCTTTGAAAACCCAAGCTTAGCGGTGACCTTTGCAAATATGCAGCTCTCTCCTGTCAGTGAGCCTTAGACAGATGCTGCTGCACTAATGCTGGAGTTCTGCTCTTTTCTCAGCAGTAATCATCTTTCTAACTTCCTGACTTTCAGGAAGGCAAGGATGTTAACCATTAATTTATCTGATTAATGAATTCATCAACTGTAGATATATACTGTAGTTATAAAGAAGAACAGTTGATGAACATAGCCTGCTTCCAGAAGTCTGACAACAAATATCAAGGAAGGCTGACCAAGTGTGACTTTCCAAATATACTGCTAAATAAAATCATTAATCATAAACAATATTGTCTCTAAGATGGGCAGAGGCACATAAGGTGTCAGAAAGCAAGTCTTGCCTCTGAGACCCATTTGTAATGAATGCTGTCTGTCACTAACAGTCAGTGAATGACAAAAGTATTTAAATAGTTGTATGATAGTTTTTAACACTGGATAAATTCATCTCTTAGTGAAATTTATGTCTTATGGCTATTTTGAAACAGGTAACAATAGATCAGGATGATTGGCTAGTCATCCAACCTCAGTAATTTTATCTAATAAGTTTATCTTAGTATAGCTTTTGCTCAAATATTTTTAGCAGCATTTGGTGAATGAATGAGTAGATTTAACTTGAAGATGGCTCTAGTGTGCTGTGCTTTAGCATGCTAACAATAACTGCTTTATGCCAGTATATCAAAGCCTCTGAGAAGCTGAGAAATCTCTAAATGCATCCACATGTAGCACCTACAACCTTCAAATCCACCAATTTCAGCGAATAATTCTCTCATGTTATTTCACTGTGAAGTTCCTATAAATTTGGCCGCAGATTGCTCATCCAGATGTTCACAGTCTTGCAACAGCCTGAAAAAGGTTTGTGAAGTTCCCTTTATGACACTTTGAGAAACCAAAGTTTAATGAAGGGCAAATGAGATGGACCTAAAACATTTGGAAATATAGTTAGAAGTCAAAATGCAAATAAGCACATTAAATTTTCTCTCATGTTGTTTGCACATCTTTATCTTGACAATTTTATGACAATGTTATGCCATTATATAAATGAGTGATGCATTAAAGGGTTAGTTCACCCAAAAATGAAAATTAGCCCATAAATTACTCACCCTCAAGTCATCCTAGGAGTATATGACTTTCTTCTTTCAGACTAATCCAGTCGTGGTTATATAAAAAATTGTCTTTGATCTTTCAAGCTGTTTAATGGAACTCAGTGGGTGTTGCAACACTGACTTTGTTCCCCCCCCCCCCCGGAGCTGTGTGAGGCTATTATTATTATTATTATACTATTATTATTAAGGATGGGCGCTTTTATTTCACTTCTTTTGGACTGATGTACTGCAACGCCCGCTGAGTGCCATTAAACAGCTTGAAAAATCAAAGACAGATTTTTAATATAACTCCGACTGGATTCGTCTGAAAGAAGAAAGTCATATACACCTAGGATGACTTGAGGGTGAGTAATTTATGGGCTAATTTTCATTTTTGGGTGAACTAACCCTTTAATGGCCTTAAACACGAATACATGAACAAAATTCATCACAAATACACTTCTGCTTTTGTCTGTATTTTTCTTTTTCTTTTTTTTTGTGATGAGTGTAAAAGCACAGAAAAAGGGGGGCTTGATCTGGACTGGATTGGAAGTGGTGTTAGACAATTGCAGATATAGGTTGTACATGGTAATATTTAATGGAGAGGTGGGTTGAAAATAAAGGAAACGTTTACCTTTGCCAAGAAATCCCCAAAGCCTGTGAGGAATCCTCTGAGCCATATGACCTGATGTTTTGATTCACGGGCCAGTCACAAATCCTTAGCTGTCAATCAAACACCTCTCAGTCAGACAACTGGGCTAGCACAACGGCACTAACACACATTTAGCATGCAACAAGACCTGGAGCAAGACCTAAGCTCATTTCAACATATATTCTTACATTTATCTGATGATAATCTTAAATGAATAGATTAAGAAAACACCATCACTAATGGTCAGGATTAATAATTCTAAATTAGATCTTAAATCTTACGTTCTAGACCTAATTTAAATTACAATTAGATTCCATTAAAGAAAGTTGCCATCAAAACGTAAATAAACAAAAGGCAGTAGTCACAAGTGTCATGCAATACCATTAGTGGTCTAATTATTAACCATCCTGAAAGCAAAAGAAGGGGTTAGTATACAAAAATGGGGTGCTGGGTTACATGGAAACTATTCATCTGTCCCAGAATGCACTGGAATGGGAGGAGGCACATGCATTCCAAGTGGTACATGCAGTTACAATCACTTAATTGCTGTTAGAAATTGTCAAAGCAACCTGTTTTCACTGAAGCATACCTTGAAACATGCTATGTGAGAGACTGATCTTGGTCAGTAGAGTCAGATTGTTTTTGGTCACAAATGAATAAAACACCATTTGTTTAAGGGGAGACACTGCAGGCAAAAAACACTGTCTTTCCATGCATCTGTCAAGTTTGAGATTTTGGGCTTTTTGGTTTTTCATAAAGTCTTTTTTTCAGACTAGTGGAGAGAAAACATCCAAAAGACACTGTTAAGTGTTTCTTTTATAGCACTTTTATCTATTTGTGTCAATAGATTTGAATTACAATACATACTTTTAAAGGCCGTTTTCTCAAAATGAGTTTTTTCTCCTACACTGAGCCATAAATCTCCACTTCAGTAGTACAGTAGTACACACACCAAACTTTACATTTGTATTCCTGTCTATATCCTGAAGGTTTTTACAGAGGGATTTGTTCATATATAATTTGCTTGATTATATACAACATTTTAATCCCCCAAAAATTGTGAAAATATAGTGTGTTCTGTCCGTTCTAAGCATTTTCTTAATTATGGAGTGACAAAAATGAGATAGACAAAATTCCCTCTGTAAAAACATTGGACTCTAATATGTAAAAAAACTTAAATTAAATTAAAATTAATAATAACTTTCATTAATAAATCATTAACAAACATTATGTAATGTTTAACGAATCATTAATATATATATTTACATATCTAGAAACGTGAAATAATGTGCTTGTTAATGTTTACTAATAAATGTATTAAACAATACCTAATAATTAACAATTCATGCAAATTAAAATGCTTACAAATGTCATTAAACTTCTAATTCATATGATCATGCACATCTTGAAAATCTACAAATGATTTTAACAGATGTTATACAATAATTAAAAGCTTTTGTTAATGCACAACACTTGCTGCTATTGAGGTGTGATACAGGTAAGGTTAGGCTCAGGTGTATGGGTTGGTTTAAGGGTTGGGTAAGTGGTCAACAACAGTGTACAGAAGTCAATTTGATTACTATAAGGGAACACGATTCAATCTGTTTATATTGCATTGTTTTGATAAATGATAAATTAAGTATTTTCTTGAATCATACATAATTGTATGATTCAAGGAATATTCTGTTTAATGATTCACAATAGTGTACTAATATAAGTGTTGAGGCAATAAAAACGTTTTGCACCCAAATTACAATGTGTGTAATGTCTCTACCATGCATTTAGCTAAACTTAACTAACCACCCTTTACACAAACGTTGTTACAGTAGCTAAAAGTCCAATAAAGATACAAATTTTTTTTTAAATGTTTATAAACATTTACAAATGATGAATAGTCTCAACTTTAGATTGGGTACTGCAAAAACATGAACAAATTATTAATAAATGATTTGTAAAGATGTGAAAATAGGGTAAATTCTGGTCATTTGGGACAATTTTTGCCATCAAAATGACTGCTCATGAAGGTACGAATAATTAGTAAATGTTTATTATCATTTACAATTGAGGAATAGTTTCCACTTTAGATTGGGTACTGCAAAAACATTAACAAACAATTAATAAATGATTTAAGATGTGCAAATAGTAGAAGTCTACACAACAAACAAAGACCAAATATATGACCTTTACAGACTGTGATTATGAGTTAATGAATATATTAACATGAATAGTTTGTGAAGTGCTTAAAATTAATAATTAAGCTATATTTAAACAACATTTATAAATGTAAAAATGAGCATTAGCTAATATGTGAACTGAAGTTTAATGACACGTGTAAGCATTCAACAGTAGATTAACAAATAAACTTATATTAATTGTGTAATTTTTGTTAAAATCTTTTGCAGATTTTTAAAACGCATTGAAAGTTTAATGACATTTGTAAACATTAATTAATGATCAGTTAAGCATTATATAATGTTTGTTAATGATTTATTAATGAAGCTTTTAATCATTGTAAACCATCTGTCAAAATCATTTGAAGATTTTTTTTAAATGCATGATCATATGAATTGAAAGTTTAATGACATTTGTAAGCATTTCAATTTACATTAATTAATGATCGGTTAATCATTATAATGTTTGTTAATGATTTATTAATGAAAGTTATTATAAAGTGTTACCGATTTTTGTACTAGAAATGTATGCAGATTACTGCATATTTCATTAAATAATGACTAGATTTGCATATCTAAACCTAACATTTTAGAAAACTTGTAATACAAAAAATGCTTGCAATTATCAATGTAATCAATCAGCTGGGTAAGTAAGGCGATAACTATTAGTTTTTTTTACCCTATTCACCTGCAGTGTCTCGCCTTATGTCAATGTGGATGAGCGGGGGGGAAAATTACATAGTCATATATATATATATATATGCACACAAGCATGCAACAAGCTGTATGCATGAAAGTGTGAGAAGCCATCCACAAAAAAACAACAACAGAGTAAATCTGTAAGACCTCTAACACTAGCTTGCTCTATTCTTTTTCTATTCTATCTGTTTTCTTTTTATTTATTATATTATTTAAAAAACCCTTGCTACGTGTACTGCGTTAAGCTAACTGAGACTTGTTATAGCACCGTCCCTTTGGATAAAAGCGTCTGCTAAATGACTAAATGTAAATGTAAATGTAAATGTAAATGAAAATCCTGACACTTAGTGGAACATTCCATTTGCTAATGCCACCCCGTCACATACAGAAGTGGTAAACGACTCTCTGAATATTCAGTGGCACACTGTCAATAGCTCTTGCCATTCCTGGAAAGCACCTATACACTCCCAAATCAAATCCGTATTCTGTTGCAATAGGAAGGTGAATTGATTTTCTATATTTACGTCAAAGATTAATGCTCATCCGAAGAGTTTTGGGTGGCTGAAATACACATAGTCTAATATTTAGTCTGATAATCTGATAAAGAAACATAAATCAGGTGAGAAACTCTTAACACTGAACAAGAACTTCAATTGTAGCTTGGGGGGTCAATAGTTGGGGTTGTAAGATTGTACGTTTTTGAAACAAGTCTCTTATGCTCGAGGCTGCATTTATTTGGTCAGAAATACAGTAAAAACTGTAATATTGTTAAATATGATTACAATTTTAATATTTTTTAAATGTAATTTATTTCTGTAATGGCAAATCTAAATGTTCAGTCTTCAGTGTTACATGATCCTTCAGAAATCATTCTAATATACTGATTTGGTGCTCAAGTAACATTTGTTATTACTATCAATTTTAATATTACCAAACTTCAATATATTAGATTATATCAGTATTCGTGACTGGTGCTGGCAAAATGAGTCACAACGAGTACATTTTCAAAAATGTGTAATTTTTATTTTCGGACGAAAAATTACTGAGCTACACCCGTTCGAAGTCGACGAAGTCTGCAAAGTCAGTTCTGAGAAAAATCAAGTTGAAGTTTTCTGAAGGTTCCAACACAAAATCACCTAGCAACGTTGCATTGTTTCCTCCACTTCCTTCTTATTATTAATTACTATATTAATAAACAAATAATTTATCAATATTAATATAGCCTGTATTATTTGATCTTTGTTATTAAAAATCAGAACAGATGCAAAAAAACAACAACAACAAAAGTAGAACAAATATAAGAAAGAAACAAATAGGCCTAGTGCATTACTTTTTTCCATTTTACATATAAACAAAAGCATTCAAGTAAGAAAAACAAATAATCAAATTGTGAAAATCATATTTGTGTGTTTATTACAAATAAATTGATTATTAAAACTACAAAAGCAGCTCAATCAAGAACAGCGATTTTTTATTTTATTGTTAGTTTAACGAGACAGATGGCCTATATAGTAAGTCCTACTGTACTGCATGGATCTAATATAATGTTACACATCAAATGTTTTTCCCAAACAGTTCCCCAGTTAAGACATAACAGATTATGTTTGCGTGAATAGCCTATTTAAATACTGTAATTCTGTGTATACAGTGTGTGTATATTTATCGGGATCGCGCGCTGGCGGAAGCGCCTTTATGTGCGTGATTCAAATGTCAGTCAGTGGCACCACGAGAAGCGAGCAGAGAAAAAGGTACTCCTCTCAGAAAACGTGCAAATAAAGAAAATTTTAGATGTTTAATTACTATTTGGGGCATTGGGATTGCTTAATGAACTCATTTTGTGAAAACTTGAAATTCAACCAAAATCGTCATTTTTTCATCTGTACGTTAGCTCAAAATTAGTCAGTGCGCATTCCGAGTAATTTTGCCAGCATGGGTCATATACATTATTTTATCAAAGGATTCTCTGACGGAGAGAATTAGATTCTCTGAACTTAAACTTTTGAAAAAAAGTTAAGTGCCATTAAAGCTTGATTTGTTCTGAAGAGTGACTAATAGAAAAATATGTGAGGTATTTTCACATTGCTACGTGAGGATATCCACCTCCGTCAGTACTGCCAATCCTACTTTAACGAACTCTAGCAATAAGCGTGTGTGTGTGTATGAGAGAGAGAGAGAGAGAGAGAGAGAGAGAGAGAGAGAGAGAGA